CTCCGCTCTATCTCTATCACACACCGATTCTTGAAACATGCGTTCTAACACCTCTAATCTTGCTTCCATTCTGGTGTTAACCATAAGCCTCATATCGCTATCACAGGGACCAAGAAAGTAGCTCTGAATACCAGTTGATAGAACACCAACAATTATAGTCATCAATTACTCGTAACTCCCTTCCCTTTAAACAAAAGAAAAAAAAAACCTTCAACAACATAAACACAAACTATATGTAATAGTTTGTTAAACACGTTACAACAACCAAAGGTTATATCTGCCTCCTTATTTATTTCTCCTAGTATAAACCTACCACTGAACCTACCTATCAGTTACACTACACTTCATTGACTGAGGGGTGTGTTAACATCTGCTAAATGATTGATTTGTGTTGATTGCTGGACTTATAACTAGCCAATTTGGATAGCATGTCGACCTTCACATGTTCTTCCCTTCAGATATGTTCAACATTCACCTTTTCAAACTCGACCAAGAGTCTTGCCACTAGGTAGTAATATTTTAGCAGCTGCAAATCTTTTACCTGACACATTCTGGGTACATGTCGAACCGTTAACTATGAATCACTCATGCATTTGATCTTCTCTATCCCCATTTCTTTTTCCAATCGAAGACGGGCTATGAATACCTCGTATTCAGCTTGGTTATTGGTGGCCTTGAAATTGAACAAAAGAGATTGTTCAAGGATAAGGTTTCCTAGTTCCTCAAGAACGATACCTACTTCATCCCATTTCCTGTTAGAGGATTTGTCCACATACAATGTTCACCATGTATTCTCAATCGACGGTGTCATCTTGTTTATAAAATCATTTAGGCATTGCACTTTGATGGGTCCCCGTGGCTCATAGTGAATGTTATGATTTGATAGCTTAATGAACCAGGTAATCATCTGACCAACCAATTCTGGCTTTCGTAGTACCTTAGCTATAGGGTAATCATTTTTTACTATTATTTGATGACTCTTGAAGTATGGTCTTAAACGTCAAGTTGCGGTGACTAGGACTAGGGCTACCTTTTCAATTTGTTGGTACCATGTTTCTACACCTTGAAACACTCAGTTGATATAATATATGAGATCTTGCTCTTTCTCATGCTATAGTATGAGAACTGCGCTTATGACTTCCCTAGACACAGGCAAGTACAAATGTAATGGGTTTTCCAGTCTCAACCTTTGCAATATTGGGGGAGAAGCAAGAAATTCTTTTAGCCTCCTAAAGGCGTCCTCGACGATGTTATCCCATGCATACATTTTTTTTTTCATCACCTTCAGTATTGGTTGAACTTTCTCGGCTAGCCTTAGAAGAAAACGCATCAATTATGTGATTCGTCCGAATAGTCTCTATACCTCTTTAACATCCTTGGGACTTCTCATATTGATAGTCTGACACTTGTCGAGATTGGTCTCTATTCTTCTATTAGTAAGTATAAATCCCAAAATTTTTCCCCTTTTATCCCGAAGGCTGAACACATATTTTTTTGGGTTCAGATGCATGTTGAGTTTTCTTAACGCTTGAAACACCTCTCTCATATCTGAAACATGCTCTTCTGCCTAATGGATTTGACGACCATGTTATCTATATAAACTTCCATGTTTCAGCCAATTTGTTCTCAAAAAATTTTGTTAGGTGATGGTATGTCACTCTGGCATTCTTTAGGCCAAAGTGCATTACATCATGATAGAAGTTTGTCGATTTTGCCATGGAGGTCGTTTTCACCTTATTTTTGTGGTGCATTGATATTTAGTTGTACCATGAGTAGACATCCAAAAAACTAAGGATCTTATACTTGACTGCTACATCAACTAGCTGGTCAATGTTAGGCAAAGGGTTTGCGTCCTTTAGGCATGTTTTGTTGAGGTCAGTGTAATCAATACACATGCGTCACTTACCACTTGCTTTTTTGACAAATACCACATTTGATAACCAGGTTGTGTATTAGACCTCCAGGATGAATTCAACCTCTAACAATTTATGCACTTCAACCTGCACTGCTTATCGACACCTCTAGGAAACCATATGGCGAGTCGGGGAGGGGGTATCTACAAAGATACTCTGATACTCAAGTCAGTGACTCAATAAATCTTTTGCAATAGTTGTTGGGATAGAATTATATTACCTTTTTTTCATAAAACTTGCTAATACTTATAAAAGCGTGACTAGGTGATATTTACTATGTGAGACTTTATTATGTTAAGAGCTACTATGGTACACCTTAGTTGGTCTGAAAAGATATAAAACACCATTTAGACACTTTAATAACAGTATTCAAGTGAAATATTATATGCACCAAACCAAAATTGTGATGACAATTTTAAGTTCCAATCTAATAATATCTATGCATCAATTTTTCTTAATGACTAAAAAAAATAATACATATATAGAGGTTCACATTATTATTAACTTTATTTGATTATATATTTAAAATATATATTTGTATAAGTGTTGTTACCAAAGTTTGAATAAGGTGTGCGAGATTCTCTCCCATAAGTCGAGTAGGTGGGGGAAAATATTGGACAAGTCTATATAGGGATGAATTATCGTAACTATCCGAGATAATAGAGATATTTATCTTTATCATCCGTTAAATGAATATTTTAAGATAGTTTTCGAAAATTTCAAAATGATTTTGGATTTGGACATCTCGTATACTGGATCTGAGATATTCAATTATAACTGATATTCTTGGATATTAACGAAATATTCGATCCAAATATATCAAGTATTTACCTTATACAAAACCACTTAAATACAATTAATCTAACTCAAAATAAAATTTAGTAAAAGACATTCACTAATTATTAAATTCACATTCTAAAATAATATAATAATTTATCTTAAATTTAGTATTGAGTCATCTACCATATATCATATTATTTATTAATCGAACTCAATAGTATTAGTTTAAGGTGTTGAAAAAAATCCAAAATCTTACATTGATTGAAAATAAGAATAAAATAGTATAAGTAGACGAAGATATTTCTCATTAAAAAATAAATTTTATAATTAATTTTTTTTAATACACACCCCTCGTCCACTATGTACTGTGATTTAACTTTATGTCGTGGGGTTATAGGTGCTGCAATGGTATTGTCACTGTCCAATGCATGGAGACATGTAATTAATCTTGGTCCCAATTGCAATTATGCAAAGGACAACACTCGTCGTAAACTCTAAGGTGCAACGTTTGGTTTTGGGGTTTTTTCTTCATGATGAGGACCATACAAGCAGGTTCGACATGAATGCATTTTCAAGGGTGAAATTTGTTAACAAACTATATGTCTAGCACTTCTCATTGAAACGGAAAAGCCAGAGCAAACCAGCGGTAACAGGTATCAAATTATCCACCCTTCATGTTGCTAAATTTGTTATCTTCTTTTTTCCTTTTTGGTTATTAAAAAATGTGACCCTTTTAGCTGTGTACCACAACTTTGCCAAATCTGTGAGGGATTGGCGTCTTTGGTTTTGGTTAGAAAAGAATACCCTCGCGGTCATTTGATTGTAGGCTTTTTATATTGAAGCAAAATATACCTTGCTTAAGAGGGAAAGTCTTATCCTGGAAAAACAGATTATTTTAAGTTATTCCCCACCGACATGCTTAATTCCGACTCCCCAAAATCAATCGAATGTTGGCTTCTAATTTTATGCCCTTTTCTTTCCAAAAGGAGATTTCTCACTCCTCTACAAGCACATATAAGGAAACGGGCCAAATGGCATCTCATTCAAGTACATTGCAACAAATACAAGTTTGATAAGATTATGATTGGAATATATAATATATAAAGATAACAAATTATTAAATTATATAAAAAATAAATACATTTTTAAATATAAATAATTTATCAAAAACTTCTTGCATTTAAAATTTATTTTATGAAATCAAAATAGTGTCAAGTTTATAAAATACTCGATCACTACTTCTAAAATGAAGAGTATCACAGCTCCTAAAACAGCTTCGAGACTCAAACTCCCACCTCACAAAATGGGTAAAGATACATGGACGCATTATTTATAAACACCTAAATAATAGTCATAATTTTTCTTCACCTCTTTATTCCTTTCACATCATATCACCTACAATTTTCTTCTCTTCCTAAACGTTATTTGCATGTCACCCAACATTTGAGCTGGCCATTAATTATTTTCCTCCAAAATATTTAAATTAAAAAAAAATTGTTTTAAAGTCTAACATTCTTGGGCAATCCTCTTTATATAGCCACTCCTTGCAGCATTTAGTATGATTAAATAGTCCGTTCAAATTTGTGTAACCTCACGTTAATTCAGCGATCTGTTCGTAATACTGGCATAGAAACAAGATCAAAAAGGAAACTTCAGTGACACTGCTAATTTACTATTTGTGGTAGTCCACCGTGAACGTATGTTCTTGAGTTTTGCTGACGAATGTCATGACAACACTAATTACATATGAACAATAGTTTATTAGATAAATATAATATAATTAGTACGAACATTAAAAAAACTATTAAAATATCCAGAAGTCGAAGATATATTTGATAATAGACAACGAGAGAGAACCGGAATAATCCCACATGGAAACGGCGGGGGAAATTAGTAAAAAAAAAATAACCATAAAATAAATTAATATTAAGAAGACAGAGCTCTTAAGAGGGTCAAAACAGAATGATACAACTTACGGCTGACCTGGAAAGACAACAAAGCAATGATCGAGAGATCCCTAAAAACACATAAAAACATCTTACCTAGTATTCAAAATGCCTCAGCATGTTTAGTAGCGCAAAGTCTACATTAAAATTACATAGCAGCACAGATTGCCCTATATATAAATTCCTATTTCTCCAGAACATACATTAAGGCCAGGGCTTAGGTGAGCTATTGCCTACTGGCTAACGAAACCAAAAGGAAGAAAATTTACCATTTATATAAAATCAACAAGTAAAATATGCCAGAAAACTTAGGCAAAGAACACCCTTCCCGAAGGTAGCAAATCACCTTCACTGTAAAAGCTTAAGTGGCAACGGGTTTTGCAATGACTTTCTTGATGGCTTCAGCATATGTCCTATGCTGATAGGTCAGAGTGGATTCAAGCAGGTCAAAAAGGGACGTCTTAGGATTCCAACCTGGCAGACACAACGACCATTAACAGGTCAAGTAAGATACAATGTTAGAATGTCAAATAGAGTGAGTTTGGAAAACTACCAAGCTGCCTGTTTATTATGGTCATGTCAGGAATTCTCTTGTCACTGTCATCATATCCCTCACCGTAAAATTCTTTTGAGCTCACATCAATGGTAGGTGTTTCAGGTGTTTTTTCTCCACTTACCTTTGAGTAAACCTGTAGAATGAAATGGAATAACAATTGATAGTTGAATTCCCAAAACAATAATAGGCCTAAATTCTAAAAGTGGGGTCAAATAATTAAAAACTAGATCACTCCACCTGAATCATTATTTCAGCAAGCTGCCTAACAGTAACCTCGTTGTTTGGGTTACCCACATTAAATATATGACCATTAGCCCTGGCAGGGTTTTCCTGTTTAGAGGTCATAAGACTTAGTGGACCAGCCGACAATAACCATAATTTAGATGAAAAAAATAACATGGCCTGTGTATTTAGAAAACAAATAGTCCAAAAAATAAAGACATAAGAACCTACAATCATCAACAAGACAGCTTCAATAGCATCTTTAATATAAACAAAGGTTCTTTGAGACTGGCCACCGTCCACAAGCTTAAGGGGCTCTCCTCTGAGAAGATTCTGCAGTGAGAGAAAATTTGAGAAGTTTTGAATAAAACTTTGCAAATTCAGAATAAAATATTATAAAATTCAACAAAAGCTATAGCAAAAGTAAGTAACTAACGTTGCTAAAGCATGCAAGAACCCGAGGAACACCCTCACTTGGACCATCAATCCCAGGAATGAAATCCATGCGAGGTCCAATCCAATTAAAAGGTCTGACAATTGTGAATTCCAAACCATTTTCAGCACCCTCAGCTGCCACAATCACACCAGTGACAACAATCAACATTCAACTTTGATTTTTTTTAAATAAATAAATAAAACTCACCATAAATCAGCCTCTCAATCAGCTGTTTAGCACAGGCATAAGACCACCTCTGCTTTTCAATCGAACCAAAAATGCAGGGAGACTCATCTTCTTTAAGAACATAGTACGCCGGATCCTAACACAACATAACAAAAAACACATCTCATATCAATCTCATCACAAGAAACAACAAAATACCAACTCTTGCGACAATACAAAACCCTAAAAGAACAGATAAGGACGAATTTTGCAAAATCGAAAAAAAATCCAACCCTAATCCGATCCTAAAGAATGAGAAAGCATAAGAATAATTCATGAGATTTCACAATACGTCATCCTCCTCTAACTACCAATTAACAACCGGAATGCATGTGAAAAAGTACATGCAACCGCAACCCAAATGGTAAGCCAAATCCATCAAGAAAATCCACGTTATGTCAACCTCCAAAGTACAAAGTCAAAATCACACAATAAAAAGGTAATCATTAGTCACTAACAACAACCTAGATAGAACGCAAAAAACCATTAACCACATCACGTCACGAAATCCAAATCACCGACAAATTCAAAATTAACGTAAAAGCACAATTCACAATGCACAGATCTGGAACGGTCATAAAAGAAAACAGTTAAAGAACAAAAGAAAGGTTACCTTACGAAGAGGACTATCTTTGGGGAGAAAGGCTCCAATCGTTTTCCCGTACACTTCGCAAGTGGAGAAATGGATAAGGCGCTTGTTATTCTCCGAACAGTATTTCACCTACAGAGAACGAAACGACGTCGAATCCAAAGCAAATCTTTAAGATTCAAATTTGGAATTGAAACAGAAACAGAAACAGAAGAAGAATAGTACCACGGGGAGCGCGTCGATGAAATTGCTGTAAATGGTGTCGAGCGGGCGCGTGTTGTAATCGGCAGGAGTGCAAATCGCAGCTAGATTAATCGTCTGAAGCAGAAACAGAGAATGGACGAATAAAATAAAAATAAAAAGAGGAAAAGAAAAATGAAGAGAGAATAGAATTGGAAGAGGAATTACGAGATCTGCCATCTTGATGAGACCTTCGAGGCGAGAATCGTGTTTGATGTTGAGTCGGTGGAAGGTGATGCGACCGGCCCAAGGTAGAGAATCAGGTTCGAGAAGGTGTTTGATCTTGTCGTTGTAGACGTCCAAGGCGAGAACCGTGTGAGGGGTTTCGGACATGAGTTTCTCGCAGAGGTGCGAGCCGATGAACCCACCGGCACCGATCATGCAGATCGTAATGGGCTTAATAGGGTTGCCGTCCAGATCCACTCGCGCCATTCTGCTGTTTCTTCAGACACCAACCAACACTTCCTCCGATTCGTGATGATTTTAAACGGAACTCAGCTACTCACAATATATAGAAGATGGGATAAACCAATGGAATGGAATGCAAAATTATTAATATTGTTATTATTAATATTATTTAATTTAATATTTTTTGGAAGGTGAAAAATGAATCAAAAGTGTTTATAAACGTGTGTATCTTTTTTCTGACTGTGACGATCACCTAACGCCAAGACTACGTTCCTTTCTTTCATTTTCTTCCTCCTCAGATTCTTTTTTTTTTTTTTTTTTTCCGACGCGCCATTGGTTGCTTCTACTCGCCCCCACAACATTATATTTAATTTGTGGGATCAAAGAAAGTCACCGCTTATGTATATTTTATTATTATTATTATTATTATTATTATTATTATTATTATTATTATTATCTATTTCATCGGAGATTTCAATTCATTTTAAGTGGTAGACATAGCTTTAAATTTTATGTTTAACCTACAGTGTTGTCTGCATTTTGGATATTTGCAGGAAAAAAAGGTACTACTACAGACAAAAACTTTTTATTAACTTTTCAAAATCAAATTCTTGATTCACGTAAATAAACTAATTTTAATTTATAAAAATAAATATTAACTTTTTTAATTGTATAAATATTATATTAAATTTTCACCAGTTAATTAGTGGGATAATAAAGATCCATTCTGGAATAATAATAGATTTTATTCTTATATAATATAATATATATTAATATAACGATAAAATAAATATAAAATTACATTTTAATATATAAGTGACTTAGTTATAAGATAGAAATAATCTAAACAATAAATATTTTTATTTAAATCCTTTAAATTGAAATTAAAAGTCAAGGAATCTTCAATAATTGGATCTTGTTTTTTTAAGGTGAAATAACAAAAACTTGAATCTCTTACTCCTCTTGTTTTTCACTTGCGGATTTGACTTTCATCGTCTCCATTTAAATTTAAAAAATCATTTATATTTTTATCGTCTTTTCCACAGTTTTTCATTCATGTGAACTTTATATATATATATATATATATATATATATATATATATATATATATAAGTAATTACTAATTTATTATTTTAATTTTAATTTAATAATTTTTAAAATTTTACCATCTCAAATATACTCCCACATTTTCATGAATTACATATCGAACTCAATACGTATACGATAAACTTTTGAAGTTTCATAATCTTCATAAGATTCTCACCAAGTTGTTCAAGTCTTTTTGTCAATTACTTTAATAGAAAAAAAAATTTAAGTTGTTCAAGTCTTTTTGTCAATTACTTTAATAGCCAAAAAAATTTCAAATAATTTTTCTTATTTCTTAAAATCTTCAAATTATAAATTAATCAAATGTTGTTCCTTAGGGTAAGTTACTATCTCTTGAACTCTTGAATGTATTGTAAAAAGTCAATTTTTACTTTTGCGTGAACTTTAAAATTAAAAGAATAATATAACGACCATTATATTAAAGCATAAGATTTAAAAATATTTAAGGATATAAATTCATTAAGTTATTTACATTGCATATATAAATATTTCAAAAGAAGTACTATCATATTACATAAATTCTTGTTATATATATATATTAAAAAAATTAAATAACTAAAATATAATGTTTCTTTTTCACTTTCTTAGCGACTCAATGTTGAGACTAATCATCTGTTCTAGTATAACAACAAGTTCATTGTAGTTCAGATTAACACATCACACAAACTAGGATAAGCTAGTGATAAAATTTTACTTTTCAATATTCACATCTTAATAAATAAATCAAGTACCACAACTATATAATAAATCAAGCGTCTAATATCTCACTATGTAAGTTACATCTCATCTCATCATACATTAATTAACATTCACAATCATAAACACTTATTCTACTTTTGGAAGTTCCATGCATTAAATTTAGACTAAGTCATATCTCATCTCATCATACCCTTACATTTGCACATGTTACACTATCTTCCCTAAGTGAATATCTCCAACATAGGTACATAATTAGAACACGTTTTCATATGACAAGGTAAATCCCTATGACTTTCCGGATATAATTTTGTTTCCACACCACAAGCTAAGTCATAAAGACCTCCTTGAACTCTCACCACCTAATATTTTTCTCTACGTGAGTCCAATATCAATAGAGTTAGGGTATCTCCCTCAGAATTTCAAATTCAATACATTACCTACATCTTGGAAACTACTATGTTAACTTTCATCAATTCATCACAGATATAACATACATATAAGGGTATTACATAATATTTTTCACATTATAACATTATATTTTTCTATACATATATTAGCATTCAAAACATTATTTCATGTTCAAACATGTATTCTATTATTCTAAGTCATGTATATACCATTTCTCACATTTCAACAAATAATAAATTTGTGTGAATTGACCTATGTCTATTCTTTTGGTCATAACTTTTTCTACAAATGTCGTTTTTTTATTAATTCTTGTTTCATTGAATTCCTTACCATTTGAATATACGGAACATTAGATTTGGAGTTCTTAACTATTTTTTATGATTTTTATAATTTTGAATAGAAAAATTCTATGAAATTTCGCTTTAGCTAAAATAAATTCAAATCACCTTCTTTCCTTGAAAATTTTCGCTTAAGAAAAAATGCACGTGGGAGGAGTCATTCCCTCTTATGCACATTTCGTTTGAGCGATTGATTATCACTTGAGTGAAATATATTGAAATGTGGTATCTGCGACGCCATTAGATTGGTTGTCTCTTCCTATTTATGTGTAGAAGAAACATAAGGAAATGAACAAGGATGATTGTGAACATGTCGACAACTGAGAAGGAATTGTACACAAAGGTGGATCATGTCAAGATGTTATAAGTCTTCATTGAGTTTCAAACTCGTGCGCTTGTATTGGGTAAATGGTGGGGGTGATGACGTAATTAAGACCGATGACTGCTCGAAGCTTACCCATGTAAAAGGTGAGTTGGTTGGGACCTCAAGTTCCCTTCAAGAGGTTTTGGAGACCAATCTCGTGTTAAATGCCAAGGTTATCGAATTCAATGGGTAGTTGTCCTTACTAAGGGTGGAGAGTGATGTGTTACTGGAGAACCTTGCAAGGATAGAAGAGGAAAACAAGATTGTTATGGCCATGATAGTTGAGCTTACCTCTGCGTCGAAGGCGGAGAGCATTGCAAAGGTGGCGACGATTATAGAGTTTTGCAAATTATGTTCATGTAAGGTCAGGTACTATTTTTTTAACCGTGTGTAATCTCCATAATTCTTCTTGCTCCTTGTAGGTTGAGAAGGTATTCGAATCCAAGCCAATGAGGGTACACTTTGATACTTAGTTTGTATAGGATAGTGAGGATTTGTAGTATATTTTATTGAAATGTATTCATTCCCTTTTCCTCGCAGGGTTTACTTGTATTTATGACGATATTAACTAGGTGGTATAGTTTGTAACTTTCATACATGGGGTTTTTACTATTATAAAAAATCTTTTCGGAAATAATATTTATACCAAAATAATTAATTAAAAAATATTTAAATAAAAAATATATATTTAAAATTTAAATTATATTAATATAATTAGTTTTTATTTAAGATGTGATAATTTAATATATAAATCATAAATAAGATAATGAATCCATTTAATATCAAAATAAAAGTTAAAATTTTATTTTTTGTTATTGTCATTATTTTTTTAGTAATTTATTAATTTTATAATTAATCTTATTCATTATATCTTTAAATAAGTGATTATTAAATATTTATCATTATTTTTATTTCCCTTAACATATTAATTTATAATACATATATATTTTTTAATAAAATAATATTATTTTTATTTATATTTTAAAAAATTATTATTATTAAAACAAGTTGAGTCAAAATATTTTAATTTAGACAATAATTTTTTTGACATAATTTATTATATATAATATTATATTATATTGTTATATTACTATTAGTTGTAAATTATAAATTAATAATAAGACTAACATAAATAGGATGATAGCATTAAAGAGTAAGATTATCGTCAAGATAAGTAGATATTTTAATTTAATCTTGAAATTCAAATAAAGTAAAATTTATGTTTTATAAATTTATAAATTATTATCAAAATATAATTTAATCGTGTACGTTATTAGTAAAAATATTTTAAATTATATACTATTATTATTATGATTATTATGAGTATTAAAAATATAATTTAATTTATATATATATATATAACTAATTTATATTTTTAAGGATAATATATAAAGATATGTTTAAAATATAAGATCAATATAAAAAAGTGTACGTAAATATAAAAAACTAAAGGTTAATTTTATGGATATTTTAATTAATTAACACTTATAATTAATTTTGAAAAATATACACTCGAAATCATCTTATCAAATATATTATAATATTTGTTGAAAAATAACTTATAAATATAAGTAATCTAAAAAAAAAACTCGTACACAATAACTAGTTAAATAAATAATTGTTATGCTGCCTTTATTATCGAATATTCACTGCCAGCATATATTATCAAGAAATCAAAGTTTGAATAAGTTAGTTAATTACATGGTTAAACTATTGATTTAGTATTTTATTTTAATTTTATATTCTTATTATTAAACACTATATTATAAGTGTTTTCTTTTTAAAATATTTATTTTTATGGTATTTGAAAATAGATATGAAAATATTTTTTTATTAATTTAAGTTTGAAAGGTTATAGGTAAATATGTTCTAAATTTAAAAGACTATAAATATATTTAAGTTCAATCAAACTAGTCTGTAAAATTATTCCTTATATATAAGTTATTGACAACACTTATTGTATAAATAATGTTACCTAACATTCATAAGACAAGAATTATTATTTAATTTTCAAATGCTTAGCTCAGCAAATATTTGGATGATTATTTTATTTTCAATAATATAAAGTATAATATTTTGTGCGACATATGATAGAGGATGATTTACCTACTAATGTATTAGTTGGTAAAGCTTTGACAATTCCAATGCAAAAATAATAATTAAGATGACTTTATATATATATATATATATATATATATATATATATATATATATATATATATATAAAAGCATCTTTAAAGATAAATACCAGAATGAATTATTTAAAAAATTTATTAAAATTATTTATATAAATTATTTTATTTTAGTTTTAAATAATTTTACATCAAATCATAATATAATATTTTTTTATTAGTCAACTTTTAAAAAATATATTATACATGATTGTGGTCATTTTAAGATATATTTGCGTTATATGATGTTAAACTAGGATATATAATCTTTATTTTAAGCGGTCTTTAATACGCATTATTTTTTATATTAGAAAAAATGTTGTTGTTTTTTTAATCGTTTTTGGCCTTTGTGGCTTAATAAATATATTGGTTTTTATATATATTATTTTCTCGTATTATTTTTTACTTTGATAATAGAATAATAAACTAAAGTAATTTTGAAAAATGTTAAGGATTAATTGAAATAGAAGACAGTTGTTATAATAAATATATGTAAATTGCATGAAACTAGATAATCCAAAGTAATAAAATGTTTTTGACAATATTAATTTAAAAATGAATACCATGAAATAAAAGTAATTAGAATTTCATTAACAATAAATCAATTAATTAAAAGAATAAATGAATTACTAAAGTAAGGATACCATATACATCAATGATTTTTTCATCATTTCAAGATGACTAAAAAATAAAAAATAAAAAAAATTATTCTTAATTAAAATATCACAAAATATTTAAGAGAATGAAGGAGAATTCCAGATTTTATGACAAAAAGCATATGTACCAACTTTTTTCTTAAAAAACAGAAATATTAATGTAAAATAAAAGGAATAAGTGATTGTATTATTATTCTACATATCGCATTTGATATAATTTAAAAATTTATTACATAATTTTATAATATTTATAAGTAATATTAAATTATAAAATATAGTTTTTATATAATAAATTAAAATTACATAATTAAATATGAAAAAATTATTTATAAATTAAATGATTTAAATAAATAATGTAATTTAGTATTGAGTATTTGTGTATTATTTTTTTAAAATAATATAACTTACTAAAAGTAATTCAATATTGCATAAATACTTTTATATTATTTTTATTAACTTTAAATTTTATTTTTAAAATTAAATATATCTAATTTTAATTTGGATAATTTTTATGTTTATTTTAAATAATAGTGAAAAAGTGAACAACGCCCTTCTTCAGCTTATTTGGAAGGAAAAAACAAAAAATGAAAAAACTTGGGACGTTAATCAAGTTCAGCTGGTGCACATCACGGCCACGGACACGTAACACGTGAACATTGGGAGGCACTGAGTTGTCCAAATTTCATTCTCATGTGCATCTTTTTATGGTAGGGCCTTTCACGTGTTTTTTTTTTTTTTTCATATATTATGAATAACTTTTAATGTTTAGTGTTTTTAATCCTTGAAATTTTAAAAAATTATTTGTTAATTATTTTTTAGTTTTTAGAATAAAAATAAATAAAAATTATTAATAAGTCCTTTATTTTTAAATTTTCTTATTTGTTTTATGTCAAAAATAATATTTTATAATATTTTTTTATAAATCTTTTTAATAAGAAGTTTAATATTTAAAAAGTCTTACAACTATATCTCATTTCTAAACCATTTTGCAATTTTTTTAATTTGAAATTACGTACTTATCACTTATTTGATCACATTTTTTTTAAATGAGTGTGTTTTTATTTGTATTTATTTTATATTATTTATAAATAACAAATAATATTTACCTATTTTAATATTTTTCATTATAGATGATCATTAATCAAAAATTAAAATAATGATCTAAAGTTTTAATCGAATTTATTTATAGTTTCTAATATTTTAATATTTTAGTTTAGGTCTTTTAATAAAATTTGCTAATTTTTTTAATCTCTGAAGTTTCTTTGTCCTTATTATTATTTTTAGTCTTTTTAATTTATATTTTTCATTTTGTTCTTATAATATTAAACTGAAAGAAAATATAATCTAATTTATAAAAATGAAAATTTAAAATAAATATTTTAAATTTAAAAGTACTCATTTGAATAATATAAGGAAACGAGGGAATATAATTTAACCTTTTCAATAATTTTTTTATAATGCATACAATTTAAACAAATATAAATAATATTTATAGTTATTAATAAAAATAACAAATAAATACAATGAGTTGTAGCCCATACTTATTTTATTTTTTATATCAGAAATATTATAAAATATTAATTGTTTTTTATTTTTTTAATAAAAATATCTAAACAATATAAATTAACTTTTTCACCAATTAAAATTAAATTATCTATTTTTTTTAATTATATAAGATAATTTTTATATAAAATAGTTTTAAGTTATAAAAAAAATTAATTTTTCTCTCTTGAAAATTTTAAATTAATTTATCTAAATATGTTTTAAGTCTTTATAATTTCTTGCGTAGGATAGTCTAAATTAAAAAAAATGTATAAATCTATATTTTGTGAATGAAAATAATAGCTAAAATAAAAGAAATAAGTTTTTATTAAAAAATACTAGTAAAATTCTATTAAAATTAATCACTGATAAAATTATATATTATATATAATATTATTTTTAATATAATAAAAGTTATATATTATAATTTTTATTTAAATTTATTAAAAGAATCAAACTCAATTAATTACATAACAAATTTATACTTTAATTTTAATATAATTGTTCATATTATTTATTAATTAATTTCAAAATATTTTAAATGCGAAATCTTAAATAAATATTACATTAATAAACAATCTTTAGTTGAGTTGTTATCCCTGTTAAGTAATTGTGTAAAAATAATTTATTCAATTGAAAGAAACATTAAAAGAAAAAACACAATTATATAAATTAAATCACTGCATTGCATTACAAATCACCGCAACCATAAGCAACAAAGGACATAATTGTCAGTTGACACTCACAACTTCGCACCGACACAGTGAATGGTTGCACGCAAAGGATTGCTTCAAAAAATATGCTAATTTTTTTAATTATTTATTTTTTAATCTAGAGGTCAATTTTTTTTTCAGGCTAAAATCAATTAATAAAGATTAAAAATAATTTAGTCGGTCAATCATTGATCATGATTATTATATTTTTTAAAACCCATATTTTCATATTAAATTTTTTATAATAAAAATATTTCATATATGTTTTTGATTAACTTAAAATATATTAAAATTATATTTCTATTTATTGGAATTTTGACATTAAATATATTATGTAAATAAAAATATTATTGAATATAAATTTTATTAAATATATTAATTCAATAATAATACATGAAATAATGTATTTAGTTATAAATATTATATTATTGAGATTTTAAATAAAATTAAATATGTATAATTTATTATTTGATAAAAGAATTATAAATTATATCACTTTATTCTTTAAACAACATTCTCATTTAAACATTTTTCATTATTTTTATTTTATTTTATTTTAGTTATTAACTTAAGATCTATAAAACTTGTAAAAATAATACTCTTACATATCTATTTAACTAAAATAAAATATTTACATAAAATAACATGCATATATTTTATATTACAACTATGATATCGTTTTCTTAGATGGATGTTGAATTTGCTCGTTATAATCTATAATTTTTTATAGTATTATGTTTTTCATTTTTTAACTTTTTAAAAATCTCATTTTAATTTCTAAACAAAATATTTATTGAAACTTATATTTTTATTAAACCACTTTGACTTTGAGAGATAACATATGATGAACCATTTATAGGCATTAGACTTATTAATAAAATATTAAATATTATGTATTAACTATTTTACAATCATTTATATAAATTTAAGTAATTAAAATTATTTTACACATGATCTATTTTAATCCTTTGTGATATTATGGTACCAGGGCTAAATTGGTGTGATTGAGTCCAGTAGTGAGGAATGTACTTAAATTGTCTCCTAATCAAACTTCATTCAAAGTTTGGAAATATATGTATGAAGAATAACTTCTAACTTAAAAATGAGTTATAAAATTTTCTTTAATGTCTTAAAAAACGACGTAGATATGTAAGTCTTCTCCAACGGTTTCAGCCAAATGAAAAAAGAAGTGGTTCCTGAGAGGGTCACGTGACCTTCCAATCCTTAAAGCCTCACACAACCTTCTGTACCACCAAATTAGTGAGTGGGGCATTCTTTCTCATCCAAATTTTCATATTTCTCTTCCACCACAAGGTCCACATCACCATAGCCACCTTCCTCATGAGATTGTGTGGTAACCCATTAACACAAAATTTTGTTTTTGGTTAAATAATATATTATTAATAAATAATAAATAAATATGAAAAAATAAATTTTTTTATAAAAATTAAACATTTCATTTGTTGGTTAAATAATATATTATTAATAAATAATAAATAAATATGAAAAAATAATTTTTTTATAAAAATAAAAATAAAAATTAAGCATACGTTAAAATCATAAATATATATAAAAAATTATAAAATCATGTTCTATTTAAAATCTATTATTTGTTCCAAGATTCCATAATTTTTACGATTGAAATATATTAAATTTGAATTATTCTTATTTTTAATTTTTTACATAAATAAAATAATTCAAAAATTTATGTTTTATTTTTTATATTTAGATAATAATTTTAATTATCATCACATATAAAATTTATTTTAATATTAAATAATATTTTTGACTAATTCGCAATGGTGTATTTGAGACACACTTAATACTAGAATATAGAATATAAAGTGAAAAAAAAATTATATGAAATTTAAAATAATATATTCCAAATAATCAAATTACTCTAATAAAATTTTAAATTTTTTCATTTTATTTTTATTCCAACAATATTTTTTTATCACAAAATATCTCAAATTTCTAGGCAAAATAATTACTCTTTATTTTATTTTATTTTTTCAACAAAACATACCAGAAATTTTAAAATATAAGTCTGACAATTATTTGTTTATATAAAATAGAGTTTATAACAAATTCTGTTTACAGAAAATGTCACAATTCTTTTTACAATGATTTTGTTTTTCTCAGCTCGTTCTGTGTGGACATATATTGGACCGCGAACATCAAAAGGGCTTAATGGGCTTTGACAAAAAACTGTATATCACACAGTCATCTTTCATGATGTCACACCCAATTTTATGTTCCTTCTAAACATTAATTTTTGCCACACTAGATTAAAAAAAATCAATTTTAAAATTGAAGATAAAATATGATTTCAAAAATTATATATTATTTGATTTCAAAAATATAATTGTTTGAGAAATTAGAGATACACTTTGTTATATTTTTTTCAGTTATATCCTTATTTTTATATATTAAAATAATAATTTTTACAGAAATTACAACATTAAATAAAGGTAACAGTTAAAGTCTGCACTAAATCAAAATAAATATAGTTTTAAAATAGAGAACATATTCAATAATTGATTACATATGATTATGTTTCTTCAAAAAATAAAATAAAAGGGTGAGGAATACTACTCATACTATTTTCTTTTCAAGTTGGACTATTAGCAACCTATAAAATAAAATTTGCACCAAAAAGATAAAAAAATTATTTGTTTTAATAAATTGAATTTAGAGATATTACAGTAATTTATTGGGAAATTTTAAATAATTTTTTTTATTCTCCTACCTCTTTTTCACTTCTTACCAACATTAATTTTTCAAATTCTCTCTCCTATCATTCTATAGTAAAAACTGCATGTACTTTTTAACATGAGTGCAATGGGCATAAAATAATTCAATACGAAAAAACTAATTATATAAATTTAACGAAAATATAGATATAAAAGCTACAGTAATAATGGTTTAACTTACATGAATATCGAAAACTAATTATTTCTCTCCAAATAATTTATAGTCAACGTTTTGTATTAAAAATTTATGCTAAACATAAAGCTAAAACTATTGTCTATAATGGATAATATTCTTAAGAAATTTATATCAAATATAAATTGTTAATGAAATAATTTTTTTTAAATTATATCAAATGCAATTTTGTAAAAAATAAAATAAAATCATTTGATATAATTGTAATATAGATATGATTTACGTGGTTGTAGATTAATGATAGATGAAGAAGAATCAATTATGAAATATATTATTTATGATTTGCATGAAGTAAATAATGTATATACTAACGCAGAATACAATATCATGAATTTCTTTAAAAGTGTTGGACAATAGACATAGTATAATTTAAATATAATTATTTTAGAAGAAATGTGTTTTTAATAAAAGAAAACAACGGAGGGAGGGGGAACTGGTGGAATCACGATCTCAAAAGGAAAAATCTTTTAAAATTTTATTAAGAAAATATATTATGAATATTTTGAAAAAACTTTGATTAGAGAAATCCCTCTAAACTAAATTTCTGGTTAATCACTCTATATAAGTACAATAAGTATTTTACACGGAATAAAGTTATAAATATTCAACAGAAGAAGACAGAGAATTTCAATAAATGAAATTTGATAATAATAAAAGGTAAAAGAAATTTATATTCGAATGAAATCACTCATGTGATTTTTTTAAATGGTTAAAAAAATATTTTAATTTCTATAAAAACTAAAAAGTCTTCATGATTATTTAGTCTCTTCTAAAAAATATGGATAGAAAAACAAAAAGAATTTCTCATAACATTTGGAGACTTCGAAGAATCATACCATCATATTTTGAAATAGTTTTAAACTGTTGAAGAAAGTTTCCCTATGTTATATTTTTAATGAGTTTATTAGTTATTTAACTAATGTATTATAAGGTTCAATTATTGCAAATTTGTCCTTGAAGACACTCTTAGTAGGAAAACATGGTAGAACTTTATTAATAGCTATTGTATAAGATGAAAATTAAAATATATTTTCATTTAATATTTGCAATAATTGAAGGAGAGACGAATAATATTTTAATTCAGTTCTTCTATTTGTTGAAATAATATGTTAACAAAACTTGCGCATGATAACATATAAATGAATGACCATATTAACATCACTGCAATATGAAGAAGTTGGGTGGAACATGAGCTACAATTAGTATATTGTGTTTAACATATAACCTTACATTTCAACAAAAAATTCAATAATATTGAATTGAACATACAAGCAATTAGCATAGATAATATATTCTCAATTGAACCCATTAATTTTCATATTTGTTAACTTTTTTCACTCTTTTTAGAAGTTCAGGTGAAGTAGTCAACACTCCTAGCTAAATTATTTGCTATGAAGTGGTAAGCTACTTCTTGGTTACATCACATTTCATTAGAAAAATGAATCCAAGCATATGATATGATGAAGGAAAAAGATACGGACATGTATGACCACCAATATAACATAGTGCATGAACTTTGTTTTAACATGACTATGTGTCTTACTAATATGTGTCTTGGTCAAAACACATTTGAAAGAACAAAAATTGTCATTTATGGAACTAAGTATGAAAGTAGACGTAATCTTATAAGTAAGACAATAATACCCTAAAGAGTTTGTTATCTTACTCAGAGAAAACCAATGACGAGTTTATATGTCTCATGTCCAAATATATTGTTGAGAAAAATGTGAGTTTGATGTCTAAGAGCTATCAAATCCACAACATGGTGAATAGGCATGACAACGGGACGTGGGCGAGTTTTGCCAACCCCAATCCCCATCCTCGATTTTTTTAACCGTCCGTCCTCGCTCGTCAGGTTAAAAATTAAGTCTTCATCTCCGTTCTTATTAGGTTTCGAGTTTCCCCATTTCCGTCCTATCTCCAATCTACATTATTTAAAAATAATAATTATATTTATAATAAATTAATTTTACTAATTTTATGTATTTTTTATATATAAATAAATATTTATAATTTTATAATTTGTAATTATTATTAATTTAATATATATTTTAATTTATTATATTTATATTAAAATATGTATGTAAAAGAAATATTTAATCATTTTTTCTTTATACAAATATAAAATACTTATAACATTATTATTATTATTATTATTATTATTATTATTATAATATTCTATTCAAACATTTCATATTATATATATATATATATATATATATATATATATATATATATATAAGTTAATTCATTTTTAAGTTGTCATTTAAAAATATAAAATATATTGTTTATAAGGAAATATTTAATAAGTTAATTACTATTTAGTTTTTTTAAAGTAATAAAAGTTTAAATTGTCAATTCTTTTTAATCCTTTAAAATAATTATATTATTAAAATAAAATTTGATATATGACAAATAAGAATAATATAAGATCCAAAGAATATGACATAATAAAACCTAATAAACATAAATTATAAATAAAATAATATTAGTTACTACTAAGATTTATGTAAAATATTTAGAAAAAGATAAAAAGAAGAAAAAAATTAACTTTGTAATAAGGAAATGTGAAAAACTGAAAGGTAAGAGAAAAAAATGTAATAAACTAATTGATATAAAAGATTAAAAAAGACAAAAGAATTAAAAAGTGGATAGAAGAGAAGTAAAAATGATGAAATATACAAAAAAAATATTACCATAATAGAAATAAATCCTATGAGTACGAGTTTAATTGTCATCCTTAATTGTGAACAAGTACAAAGGTACATAGTCAACATGTGTGGAGAGTTTCAATCTCTTTTATTACCGTGCTCACATATTGTAATGTGTTCCTTGTGGCATTTGAAAAGAAAAAGATATATATATATATATATATATATATATATATATATATATAATTCAAAATTTATACATGATAGACAAAATTTACAAAGCTTATGAATATTAATTTTATTATGTAAAAAATAAATTTTATTGATCTCTTTATTCTAATCCAAATTTCATTCCAGACCTAATTATATGACTTAAATAATAAAAAAGTTGATTACTATGTGTACTTGCTCAAATTTTCACATTTATTACGTCAACATATTCTTTCACTTAATCCATTTGAATGCATATCATGATAATAATGTATAATTAATATACCTGATTATTCAGTTATATATAATATTGCATTTAAAGGGTAGTTGTTAGTATGTATAATTTATTATCTAAAATATACTGGTAAGATACATATAAATAAAATCACTCTACTTTCTACCAATCATCACACCCTCATTCAAATACTTATCTATTATCTCTATCAATAGTATTTTGTTAGTGGTCCCTTTTTTCCCAGAATCAATAGAATTCAATCCAATAGACTCTAAAGCCATAATTGTCTAGAGTGACTTATCCAAACTTATTTACCAACCTTGTTGAACTTATTTACTATTATAATTTTTAAAAGAACATGACATGCTTTCACAATAAAATGGATTGATTAAATCCAAATAGAAAAAAATGTTCATTTTATTATAATGAGTCATATTCATAATAATTATAGTTATCAAAATGATCAATCTAGCTTAGCCTAGTCTAACATATCTTTTGGTCAAGTAAAAAAATTGATAGTCCAATCTTACTATATTTTAAACAAATTATAATTTTTACCCTAACTTAACCTATATTAGGTCAACAAATTAACAAACCAATTTTGATCTGATTGAAACTAAAAAAATTTGATAATTATCCATATTAATATAATTAATTAAAAAAATACTTAAATAAAAATTAAAATAAAAAATATATATTTTTAAAATTTAAATTGTAAGTTTTTATTTAAAATATAATGATTTATATATTAAATTATAAAATAATGAATTCATTCCATCCAAAAATAAAAGTTTAAAACTTACTCTTGTTTATCATAATTATTTTTTAGTAATTTATTTATTTAAAATAATAATTAATTTTAATTATTTAATATTAAAATAGATGATTAATAGAGATTTATTTTAATATTTACCTTTATAATAAGTAAATATCTTTTTAAATTAATTCATAAATCACTTTTTTTTATCTTCACCTATTTAGGTTTATCCATTGGGTTAATTTGACATAGCTAATCACAATTATTCATATAAATAATGATATTATTTTAATAAATTATATATATTTTATTCATTTTTACTCTTAAATTAAATTATAAAATAAAATTGAATGCTACATAAATAATAAATTATTAAATAATTAAAGAAATAACCAATTTTAATTAAATTTTTAATTTAAATTAAATTATCCAAATTTATATTTACTTTTTTTTCAATTTTAATATTATTGTATAAAATATTAAAATATAACATATGTATATATATTTTAATTATATTAAATATATCAAATTAAATTTAAAAAAATATATACTATATAACGCAACATCATTATTAATATTAAAAAAATAATAAAGATACATTGAAAATATGACTTATTAAAAGAAAGAAGCGTTATACAATAACATGAATCTTTCAAAATAAAGTGGTAATTTAAATCAAGACTTGAAAAATGTAGAACCATCAAAATAGATGTTTAGGTTAAAGTAACAAAGTTTGATAAGAGTCTTACCAATATTTTTAAATGAGTTATAATTTTTTATCTAATTTAACTTTATGTTAGATCAATAGGTAATCGATTAATTTTAATCTAATTAAAAATAAAATATTATTAACATGTTTATATTAAAATAAATAATTAAAAATATTTAAATAAAGAAACATTTTTAAATTTTAAATTATATTTATAAAATTATTTTTTATTTCAAGTATAATAATTTAATTTATAAATTATAAAATAAAATATCCATTAAAATAAAAATTAAAAAATTAATTATTATTATTATTATTTATTCTAGCATAATTAGATATTAAAAACTTCCTTATCTATCTATTCTTGAAATAAATTAATTTATATATATATATATATATATATATATATATAATAAATAATATGATTTTTATTTTTATTTAAAAATAATTATTATTTTATAAAATAGGTTGATTTATAACTCTAAAACTAAATAAGTAACAAAATTGTTCAGATTCTATTTACATAAATTTTTAAACCTGATATATTTTTCAGGCGGAATCAATGCATCTTAATTTAATTTTTTTATTTCACCTGAATGCATGAAATGAAAGTGCACCATTTATGGAAATAAACTTTTTTTTTTTTTTTCTCTTCTCAATTTTCTTTTTATTCATGTGTTTTTCGTGGTGCGTCCATGTTTTCTCTTCCATGATAGGGACCCGCACGACACTGGCGCGAGTGTTTGTGACCGTAAACAGCACTTTTAACTCAGAACTTGCCATTATATACGGCAAGAAAAGACAAACCTTCTTGTTTCTTTGTTGTCTTCCATCAGACACAGTCTAACCTCGGTGGAAAGGTCCAAAAGGGTCAAAGAAAAAAAGGAGCATCCACGTGAGAGCACGGAACAGAAACACCTGGAAACTCAACAGTGACACCTGATAAAGTGTTGCATGTAGGTTTCAAGACAAGTGTCTCTGGGACAACCCCAAACCGAGACCGTTATTTGACTTCAGCTTCTATTTCCAAAATGTTATGAAGAAGGGTGTCCTTTTATCATTGACGCATAAGCCTCGTGGGTGTGGGGTGGGGGTGAATAGTGAATACTGAACAGTGAACAATTTTACTACTTCAGTGACTCATCTGAAGCAGGATTCAATATTTAAGTGGGTTTGGCTGAGAATGGTTTCAAAGTGGAGGTTGAAGAAGTTCTGCTTGGTGGAGCCATTGAAGTACTCCATTGGTTTTCAATCCTTTGAGGAGGAAAGGAAGAGGCAAAAAAAGGAGAAAAATGGGCAGTGTAAGGAGCGGAGGTGCATTGATTATTGGTTTTGGGTGATAGGATACATGTGCACCACTTGGTGGTTTCTCTCTTTGTTGTATGGTTGCTTGCCTACCACGTTGCCTGGCTTTGAGGCACCAGTGTCACCTGGGGTGAGGCTAAGCCGTGAGGGAGTCACTGCACTTCACCCAATTATTCTTGTACCGGGCATTGTGACTGGTGGGTTGGAGCTTTGGGAAGGGAGATCTTGTGCTGAAGACCTTTTCAGAAAGCGGTTGTGGGGTGATGGTCTTGCTCAAATCATCAAAAGGTGTGATTGTAGTTAAAAGTTCATTAATTGTTTATACTCTCGAGAGCTTCATGGTAGAGTAAGTGAGGTTATTAATTATATTGGTCTTGAAACTTGATGGCTAAGACTTTTAGTTTTAGGACAAAAATTACAGGAATTTTTTTTAGAATTAGTTTCAACTTGATAATCTATATTAGCCATAACCACCATTGATAGAAAATTTTATTATGTGAATTAATTTCAATTCTAATTTGAAGACAATACCAAGAAAACCTATAGAACATTGTACATATAAGTTTTGTCTTTTAATTGCAGTTGTGAGTGTGAACGGTGAATCCAATCATTCATTAGCCAATGTACATGTTAATAAAAGCACTTTCTTTTTTGTAGGCCTTTGTGCTGGTTAGAGCATCTCTCTTTGCATGATGAGACTGGCCTGGACCCACCAGACATTAGAGTCAGGGCAGTGCCAGGGCTGGTTGCTGCTGATTATCTGGTTTGGGAAGATTTGATTGAAAATTTAGCAAGGATTGGTTATGAAGGAAAGAATTTGTATATGGCTGCTTATGACTGGAGACTGTCCTTCCAGAATACTGAGGTATGATGATCATTAAAAAAAAAAAGTTCAATACCTTGTAGCTATGATATAATGCTCATTGCATTCAACCTCAAGTTGTCATATGATGATTATAATGCCTTCTTGTTGCTCAAATGATCCTTTTGCAAGAATAAAATGTTTTTTGTGTATTGGCTTTTAGCGGAACTATAGATGAAATCAATGATGAATTGCAATGGCATTTTTTGGAACTGCCTACCAGGCTTTCATATTCATTTGTTAAAAGAAAAGAATGTGATGTTTGTTTTTAATTTCACGGGAGAGGTAGAGGTGGACTCTCTCTTCATCCCCTTGGTTTCCTCATATGAATCTTATTCTCCCAATCTCACCCCTTGTCTGTATGGAACCTTTTTCCCCTTTGTATGTCTTTGAATTCTTTCCTTTTTGTTTCTATATAAAAAATTCAAGTAGAAATTAAGCATGGTAGGCATATTTGCAGAAACAAGTTTCAGCTAATTTAGTTTTAATTGGACAATGCAGATTCGAGACCAAACTCTTAGTAGATTGAAGAGTACTATTGAGCTTATGTTTGTTTCAAATGGCTATAAGAAAGTGGTAGTGGTACCACAATCCATGGGGGCTATTTATTTCCTCCATTTCCTGAAATGGGTTGAGACACCTCCACCCATGGGAGGTGGTGGTGGTCAGGGTTGGTGTGACAAGTACATCAAAGCAATCTTGAATATTAGCCCTCCATTTCTTGGTGCTCCTAGGGCAGTTAGCAATATATTTTCAACCGAAGGCAGTGTTGCATTTCTCAGGTCAGTATTTGCAACAAAATTCTTTCTTTCGATCTGGCATCTTATGAAATTTGAAGGTATGATTTGAAATTGTAGAAATCATGATTTATTAGTTGGATTGAATGATGTCTGTCTCTAGTAATCTGAGTATTTAAAATGAAAATTTCAGCAAAATATTGAACCTATGTAAGGGAAATGAAAGCAAATACTGAATACTGAATAAGTTGCAACTGACTATCACATTTTAAAGAAGATAACAAGTTGGACCCTATATAATCTCTGCAAGTAATATTATAGTAAAAATGAAGATCATTGGAAAATGCAAGTTTTTTAACTTACCTAAATGTTAATTTTTGCGATAATCTTGTGGATTAATATTAGCTAATTCAATGGTAATGCCATCTACTTATATGTTTCCATGAATCAAAGGTAAGAGAGAGAGTCTAGGTTTATCCCCTAAACAAAACTAGGATTGTAACTGTCAATATGTCAAAATCTGTTTACCTGAATAAATGGTTAATTGCACATTCTTTTGGGATACGTGACTACATATCTATTATCAGTACCATAATCATATCTATAAATAGTTGTACACATTTATTAGATGATGGGGTCACTCAATTTTTGCAGAGCTGTTCCTTCTAGCATTTTAAATTTTGGTTACCTTGGTCGTCAAGCTCTTGAGCACGTCATGCGGGTGTTTAGAACGTGGGATTCAACCATTTCATTGATGCCAAAAGGTTGCGAAACCATCTGGGGTGACTTGAATTCGTGTCCTGAAGAATGGAATAACTATGATCAGGTAAAGAACGGATATAAAGCACTTTGCAAGTGACAATACTTTTAAAAAGGCAGTTACCTCTTCACTTCTCATTCCCTTGATTCATATATACAATAGTTACAAACCTTTTTTTGTTCTTAATATGATGACTCCATTTTTTTTTTCAGAAGAAAAAAAGAACTAGCTCAATGTTGAACCATAGTAATTCTGATAATGGAACTAATGACTCCTAAATGTCATGCTTTAAGAATAGTCTTCTACCATTAGAAGAGGCCAGCTTTTAATTCCCAGTGCAAATTCCTTTAGTTCTTCAAAATATATTTTATGTTTTATAAATGTATATTACTGTATGTTTTATAAGGCATTCCTATCATTGATTGAATAATAAGTAAAACCTTTACTGTTCCATCATGCAAATTATTCAGTTTCCATGTGGATTTGCCACTTTATGTTCTGATCATTATATATATATAAAAAATTCATGTCTCCTCCTCACCAGGAAATTTCACGGGGTGGAAATTCTGCCACCTTTAACTTATCAGGCGACGTGTGGACTAGTTATGATATGGGCAGAGAAAGCATTCGAGAAGATACTAAAAACAGGACTTATACAGCAAGAACAGTTTTTGATCTACTTAACTTTGTGACTCCAAAAATGATGAAGCGTGGTGAGGCTCACTTTTCTCATGGGATAGCAGAGAACTTAGATGATCCAAAATATTCTCATTACAAATACTGGTCTAACCCACTTGAGACCAAGTAAGTATGTAGATTCATGAAATACTTTTCACTAATTTTTTCTTAAAAGATTCATTGACATTCTCTTTTTGGCACAACTTTTAGTTATTCGGAAGTTTCTTATCTAAGTTTAGTTATACTTTCACTCATTTGTCATGGTTATAGAATTCTTGGTATCCAAATTACACTTCAACTTTAGGTTATCAGTAGGAGCAGTTTTTCTTTTCTTTTCCTAATGAAGTTAAGAATCACACCTAGCAAGCTCGAAGATATTGGCACTACTTTTGATCATTAATCCTCATTTGATTTGTTAGTTTAAAAAAAATTGACACGACTTCCTGATTCAGATTACCTGATGCTCCGGATATGGAAGTATACTGTCTATATGGTGTTGGAATTCCAGATGACAAATCACATGTGCATAAGAGTATTCCTTTCCAAATTGATGGTTCAGCAGATGGAAAAGAGGAAGGTTGGTTTCAGAATGGTGTTTATTTTGTGGATGGTGATGAGAATGTGACTATTGTAAGCTCAGGATTCATGTGTGCTAAAGGATGGCGTGGAAGAACTCGGTTCAATCCATCTGGCATGGCTACATATGCAAGAGAGTATCAGCTGAAACAAGGAGGTAGTCTTGTTGATTGGGGTAGAAGAGAAAGTTCCAACATTGTAGGAAATGTTGCTTTAATTGAAGATGTTTTACGAGTAGCTGCTGGAACCACTGGAGTAGATATTGGAGGTGATAGGATATTTTCAGATATAATGAGGATGTCTGAGAGGATAAATCTCAGACTACGATTATGTTCAATGATTGGATTTTCTTGCATGATAAGAGAAGTTGAAGAAAATGCAAGGTTAGTGCAGAAATAGGATCACTAACAAAACAGGTATGTAGGTGGAAGCTGATGATAACTTGTGTAAGTAACCATCTGCCATTGAGACATCAAATAAAACAATAAATGAATGCTACCAGACATGTGCACATACTGTTATTATTTCATTTGAATGGTTAACAGAATTGTGACTAGTGCATTTAAAGCCTAATTAAACAAAAACGTTTTAGAAAAAACTTGTTATGTTTACATCTTTCCAAATTTGCTTTATTTAGCAACCAATTGCAAGTTTTGTTTTTCAGACCCATACTGCCGACTTCCATAATCATCATGTCCCCGCCTACGCTTACGAATCTGATGGGTTTAGAAATTGAGTATCTGTCCGTCTTATTCATTTCCATTCCGTGTTTTTTTTTTTTTTTTTTTTTTTTTAAAAAAAAAGATGATATCTAAATTATAATAAATTAACTTTAATGCTATTTTTGTTGTTGTTTTTTTTATAATTTTTAAATAAATATTTGTATTTTTATAATTTTAAAATATTATATTTATATTAAAATATGCATATACAAGAAAAAAAATGTTTGATTTTCTTTTTTTTAGAATATTTATGATATTGTTATTATTATAAATTGTCAATCCTTCAACACTATCAATCTTAAAAATATACAGTGTAATAAAAACAGGTTTTAACTAAAAACTCTTAAAAATAAATATCAAATTCATATTTAAAAATACTAATAAATAAATAAAAGTTTCAATTGTTAATCGTTGAAAGATATAATAAAAATAAGTTTTGAAGAAGTAAATATTGGATAATGTAGTGGTCATCTTTCAAATGAGAACTAATATCACTTTTTATCAATTTTTTTACATAATTCAAAATTATCAATTTTTTTACATAATTCAAAATAAAATATATAATTGAAAAGAGAAATAAAATCTTGAAAAAATAATAATATCTTTGATTAAAGTAAATAAATTAAATAGTACCTCTGTACCATTTCATTGAATAAAATAATATAGTGATCCACTAATTAAAACTTCACATTACTTAGGAATAAATTTTATAAAAAAATTAGTTGCTAAAATATGTAAATATAGTTATTAAAGAATTTATTTAAACATGTATTTAAAATATTATAATTATTTTCAACGTTTCATAACCAACTTTTGACACATAGTCTTTGAAGTAGTTCAGATGAATTTGAAGTAGTTCAATGAAGTTCACTACAATATGGGCTTAATATTAGATCATTAGTATTAAATGGAAATTCAAAATAAGTCTTTAGGAACAACTTGAAGTATTATTACTTGACTTCATTTAACTTCCACCATATTAGAATATTAAAAATAACTTTTTTTCCATAAAACCTTCTCTAAAAAATGGTCTAACTCTATTTTAGCATAAGTATTTGCCTTCCTCCCCTCAAAATATACCTATTATACTCAGTTAATGCATCGCCAACAACATTAATACCATCCACTTTTGGTACGGATGACAATCAAACTCATATCTATGGGATTGATTTGTACCCGTCCCGAAATTGATGAAAAAAAATCGAATTGACTAGGTTTGAATTCAATTTTTTCTCGTTTTAAGAAATCAAGTTGAGGAGCATGAATGAGTAATGTAATCCCTGTCTCCTGCCTCACATCTCATTCGACTTTATATTGAAACCTAAACCCTAAAATATTAATTATTTCACCAATACTTTTCTTTCTTTCTCACATTATACATAGTGTTATTTCTTCTATTTACTCTTATCCACTCTTCACGTCTTTGTCTTTTTCAATCCCTTCAACCAAAGGCACTCTTCACTTTTTCTCACCTTTCACTATTTCATATTTTTTCAATCTCTTCAGCTAGTTTAGGTTTTGCAATCTTTTTCAACCTATTTAGATTTTGCAATCTTTTCAACTAGTTTGACCTCCAATCTCTCTTATCAATTTGACTTCTTTAATCTCTTCAATTTGTTTGATAAATACATAAGGTTAATTTTTGTTTATTTATTGTTTTCTAAATATTGTTAATCAATCTTAGTATTATTTAATTTTTAGTTTGTCTTTAATAAGTTTCGTTATGTTGTGTTTTTTAGATTTTGTTATTTCTAGTTTTTCAAATTTTATATTAATTAAATAATTATATTTTTTTATCTTTCATATTCAACATAAGTTAAATAACTAAGATGCACGAGAGAAGAAAAATATTTGGGCAAAAGATAACACAAGTCTTGTTTCTAGGGATTTTATTTTTATATATAATGGAAGAACACAAGTATACATGAACCAATGCTAGAAGACAATCATAACATTGGTTCTGCTTTTATACCAAATGAAGTCCCACCAATAACTAGAGAAAATGAGAATGATGAAACTACACAATTAGGATCAAATATGCTTAAAAATAAAATTTGGTAATGTTTTCATAAGATTAAAATAAATGGAGAGGATAAGTCTTAATGAAATTATTGAAAGAAACTTTTGAGGGAAAAATAAAAAATAGGACAAATTACTTACAATAATTCAATGATAGTAGTATTTAATTCAAGATTGTTATGAAATAGAGAAAATGACAAACATTTTTTACCGCTAAGATTATGCAGGGGTTAGGTACAAGAGTTTATGATGCAGAGTATGCAAGAAAAGAGCTAGTACATTTATTATGCATGAACATCCACTTTTAGTTCTATAAATATTATTAAAAAATAAATATTCAAAGTTTATAACTCTAAGATCAATAATTTTGATGTTATTCGATAGTCCCGAAGGAAAAGTATAACATCAAACATGTGGACTTCAAATAATCAACAAATGAGATATATGGTTGTCACTGGTCATTACATTGATAACTTTTGGTATTAAAGTCACATCTTAAGGTAACAAATAATTTTTTAGTCATATTTTCTATTATTTTTATTTTCATATGATAAAATAAATGAATCTTGATTATGTGAATATTATTATGTTAAGTTCATTTATGTTTCAATTCCTCGCACAAGTGATAGACTTTGTAATGCATTAGTTGAATGTTTAATGGATTGAAACATTAACATAAGGTTATCTACTATCACCCTAGATAGTTGTATCACAAAAATGTGTTATAATTGACAAAATTAAGGATAAATGACAAATGAACACTTTATTAAGGGATGACTACGTACTTCATATGTGTTGTTATGATCATATATTGAATTTGATAGTTAAAAATAGGTTGGAAATGGTGAAAGATGGGGTATAAAAGATTCAGGGTAGTGTAGTATATAGGACTACAACTCCTAAAAGGAATAAAAAGTTTGAGGAAATAACAAAGCAATGGTGGGAACTTGGTTTTAGATTGTCCAACTAAATGGAATTCGACATAGAAAATGCTTGAAATTATAATAACATATGAGGATATGTTTAATCAATTAAAACAACAAGATTCTTAATATACTTGTTGTAATTATGATTCATACTATTATGGGAGTTGCTATTGTTTTGGATTTTAGATACAAAATGAAGTTACTTCAATACTATTATGAAAAATTGTATGGTCATGAATCTTTTACCTTAGTTAGGATGGTTCACGAGTTATGTTATGACTTAGTTCTGAGTATTAAACAAAATGGACAAAGACATTGAGTCTCCAATAATGGATGATACCAACTAATATTGTTGGTGATGTATTAATTGAGTATGATGTGCATATTTTGAGAAAAAAAAGGGAAGAAGTATTATGTTAAAATAGATTTAGGACATTATTTAAAGGAGAAAATTTTATCAAGAAAAATTGATTTTGATATACAATTATTAAATAATATATTTAAAGAGATATTTAAAATATTACCATTATTTTTAACACTCCATAACCAACTTCTGGTACTCATCAAAGCTTCTAAAGTTGTCAAATGAATTCAACTATTATAAGGGCTTAAGATTTGATAATTAATGTTAAAAGCATATTCAGAAGCTTAAATGAAAATAAAGATGACTAGTTTACTTGAAGTGTTGATACTTAACTCTTTAGTATTTTTTTTTTCATATGATTCTCAATTAATTGATGACTATACTACTTTATTCAATGAAAATGAACATTAGTGATGAAAGTATTATTTTATTTATTTACTTTAGTCAAAGAATGTTATTATTTGTCTAAGACATGTCTCTATCTCGCTCTGTTGCCATACTTAATTATTGTTGTTGACCTACCAACTTTATCTATATGCATTTTTATTTGATACTCAGAAATCAAGTCATAACAAAACATAACTAACAAATCATTCTAACTTGGACAAAAGATTCATGACCATACAACTTTTTATAATTGTATTCAAGTAACTCCATTTTGTATTTAGGACCAAAACAATAGCAACTCTCATAAAAACATTCCAAAATTTGAACAACATGTGTTCTGATATTTTCTAATTATTTCATTAGGAAACACAATCAACTAAGTCAACGTCAATTTAATCTCACATATATTGAGAAAATACACATTAGCAATTGAATATTCACTAGCAGAAAATAATTTTGTAATAAAATTGAACAAATTGAACCTTTCACAAACATTCTTTATAAACTACCATTATAAATTAGTTGACAAACAAGTACGTTAAGAATCTTGTTGTTTTAATCGATTGGTAATTTCAAGCATTTTGTATATTGAATTTCATCTTGTTGGATAATCTAAAACCAAGTTCTTCTTAGTATAGAGATAGGCAATTGCTTTGTTGTTTTCCCAAAATTTTCATTCCTTTTAGGTGTTGCAATCTAATATTCTACCCCATATTTCACCACTTTCAACTCATCTTTAACTATCAAATTTAATATATGAGCCTAACAAGCATATGATAAATCACCATCCCATACTAAAGTGTTAATTTGTAATTTATACTTAATTTTGTCATTAATAACATCATTCTTTATACAACTATCTAGGGTGATAGTAGACAACTTTGTGTCAAAGTTCCAATTCATTAAACATTTAGTTAATGCATTACAAAGTCTATCAATTGTGAGAGGAGTTGGAACATAAATAAACACAATATAATAACA